CTCAACTTCTTTGGTCGACCATGGCGAGGCCTGTTCTGAGTGGAACCTGTCCTGTTAAACCGCTGTATGGTCTTGGCCACCGTGCTGCAGCTCAGTTTCAGGGTCTTGGCAATCTTCTTATAGCCTACGCCATCTTTGTGTAGAGCAACAATTCTTTTTTTCAGATCCTCAGAGAGTTCTTTGCCATGAGGTGCCATGTTGAACTTCCAGTGACCAGTATGAGAGAGTGAGAGTGATAACACCAAATTTAACACACCTGCTCCCCATTCACACCTGAGACCTTGTAACACTAATGAGTCACATGACACCGGGGAGAGAAAATGGCTAATTGGGCCCAATTTGGACATTTTCATTTAGGGGTGTACTCACTTTTGTGGCCAGCAGTTTAGACATTAATGGCTGTGTGAGGAGTTATTTTGAGGGGACAGCAAATTTAAACAGTTATACAAGCTGTACACTCAACTACATTACATTTTAGCAAAGTGTCATTTCTTCAGTGTTGTCACATGAAAAGATATAATAATATTTACAAAAATGTGAGGGGTGTACTCACTTCTGTGAGATACTGTATATATAATTATTTGTTTATTTATTGAGTTAAATGTGGATGCATTTGTCAGTCAGTATTTTTTAGTTTTTTTTAGATTGTGTTCAGTTTTAACGCTTTCTTCCATTTTGTATTTGTGGGTAAGAATAAGAAGCACTTGATATCCGGTACTTATAGTGTCTTTCATTCCAACATAAAACATTTTTGGAATCTGCATCTGAAATAGCATTTAGATGTATGTACACTAGGGCTGTAAAAATGGCTGAAAAACGAAATTCGAATTTTTTACTTAAATATTATCAATATTCGAATTATATTTCAATTTAAAAGGCATAATTTCAGATAGGGCGGAAAAAGCTTTTGGCTTCTCTCCTGAGGCCACAAGATGGGGCATGGAACAAAATATTATGCACATTTCTTCAAAGCATAATAAAATAACACGACCATCTTTGAAAAAAGTGCATGTTTAAAATAATGTTTATAAACCTGATATAATTAAAGTTGATTAAACAATTAGAAACAAAACAGAATCCTGCATGTATGTATAGTTTAATACAAAGGACCGAAAACCAGTCACAAAGAGTACTTTCTTCATTTAAAAACTTGAGATGCAGTAGGATGGGGAAAACCGCCATAAAGTCTTGAGACATGTTTTTAAAAAGTTGAACTTGCATTCATTTTACATGGCTTTCTAAACATGCGGCTCTTTTGTGCGAGACGCGAGTGCAACGGTGATCGACGTCCCTCTAGAAAATGTGATAAATATGCGTTCTGTGTGAACGGCTTGGTTTCAGTTTTGACGTAAACAACATCATGTCTGCATTGATGTTCTTTTTTCCCCGCAAAATTTTGAATGAAGAACGTAGCAGCGCCGCATCTAGTGGGTTTAACTGGATAAGCTAACAAAAGCATTAAAATGCAACAACACTTTCATCGTCATCGCATCTCGTGCACCACTAATAAGGCAGCCTGACGTGTGTTTCATCACGACTTTTATTATTAAATAGTTGTTTATGACTTCCTGACGACAACCCCACCCTGTACACCACGCAACTGGGGGTGAGGGCGGGCCCGATCGGTAAAACCAACAAAGGCTGACCTGATAAACTCTGCAGTTACGGCGCTGCGAACCATACCAGGTTTGACAGTGCGGACAGAGGAGCTACTGCAAGATCTTATTGATCAAAAGTTGAACATTATCTACATGGACCGACAGAATCAGCTTCAACAATCCAATTTGTCTGAGCCTGACGCACTCTGCAAT